AGGTCTCCTGAGCAGGAGACTTCTCTCACTGAGCAATACCCATCGCTAATTCAGGGAAGAACTGAAACACTGATGGAAATAAAATAGTATTTTCCTGATGTCAAAACCTGTTAATTTGTAAAGTTCAGCTGTGGTTTTGTACTGACCTGGTTCCCTCACACCCCAATAAACTCGTGCTCACAGCAGCCTCGTATGAACGGGGGGGGTCTGTGCCTGTGCCGGGCCATCAACAGCCCCTTCCTGGGGGGTGGGACTGGGGGGATATGGGACGTGCTGGGCATCAGACACACTGGACAAGCTGCCACCAGCCATAGGCTCGATGGGGAACACGAACACGTTTGTTGGGCTGGATCCCACCATGGGGCTTGTGGTTGCCCGGGAACAGCGTCAGAGCAAGGGAAGAGGATTTTAACCTCCCCTTCTACAGAAAGTCAGTGCAGAGCTGTGCTCCTCTTAAAGGCTTGGTGCTTCCTTCACTGTCCATAAGGATGGCCCAGCTGAGAGAGACACAAAGGTCGTTGAGGTGCAGCCTTCGAGCTCAGCCACACAGAGCGCGCCCTGCGGCAGCAGCACCCGACTCCCCTCCCTCAGCCCATCCCTTTTATCTGGGGTGTCTTTGGTCGCACTCCCCCCCGCCCCGATGGGTCCTTGGCTGCTGCACGCTGCATTGCATCACACGGGCACAGGAGCACACGTGTGGTGTGTGTGGTTACTACTTCCGAAGCACCGGCCCATCGGCCTCCATCCCGCTGCAGCTCCCGGTGCTGACCCCGCGAGCAGACCCTGCAATGGATTAATTTGCTAATTACATCTCATTACACCCCCCCCCCCCCATGATTTATGTCCCGTTCATCACGGAATGCTCAGTGAGGAGGCTTCCCTTGGAGCGTGCGAAGCTTCACTGCGGAGCGACCTGCGTGAACATCGGACCCAGCGTATTTCTAATGTGGTTTTCTACCCTATGGAAACACCCCTCAAGGAAAGGGAGGGGGTCTCTGCTCTGTGTCGGGGGGGGTTACGTGTCACCACGCGCTCGCGCCAGCGGGAATGCAAGGGGATTGCCGGGCAGTGGGAGAAGGGGCTTGGAAACGTCCGTTCCTGCGCTGAAGAGGGGCGGCAAAGGCGCCCCCGGCGGCCCCGGAGGCCGGGATGGGCTCACTCGGGTTCCCTGTGCCCGTCCCGGCAGCACGCGGGGAGGGGGGGCGGCAAGAGCCGGCTGGGGCTGGGAGCTTCACACGGAGCTTCAGACACCCCCAGCAGCAGCAGCAGCAGCAGCGGGACCGGGCACCGGCAGAACCACGGCCATGCGCAGACAAACAACGTGAATAAAACAGCACAATAAAACAAAACAAAAGTAAAAATAATTATAAAAACAGAAATTAATTTATACTCATACACAGGCCGCTTAACTTTTAGTATGAATTATTGCTGTATCTATTAATAGGTTCTATGTTGTAGCATTAAGTAAACATAATAATTACGTAAATCATGCTACAATTATATGCTATAGTATATTTAATTAGTATCTAACAGTCTATATTAAGTATATCTATATATGTATATTAGGCATAGTATATATTACAGGTATTAAATATACAAGGGTATAATGCTTATATAATAAGCATAATATATATTCTACAATCGATGCATTAGGAACAGCATCATATAATGCATATAATGAAATATACATTATTATATAATAGACTATACAATATGCACTACATATTCCATTATATATTAATAATACATTATATTTATTACTATTAATAGTCACTAATAGTCACCAAAATATGGATTATAAATTACATCTATACTCTATATTACATATACATGAGATATGTAGATGTATATCTGAACACATACCTAGTATATACTCGAGACACATCAGAAAATTGTAGTTCTATAAATCATCTCAGCAATGTCTGAATTATACAATGTATATATAACCCCTGCTACCACATCAAGTGTACTGCCTGTCTAATGTACAGCACAGAAGACTCAAAGCCCTGCACACAACACAGTCCGTAACTATCGGTTCTGGCTCATGCATAACATGTATGTCTAATGGGTATGTTACACCTACACTTACACACAGACCTGTGCATGTATGTACACATGCACATACGCAACGTGCACTGTGCAATGCTTACTCCATGCTCCAGAACACACAAATTAATGGCTACAAGGCTACTAAACCCCCCCGTAAAACAGTATTGTTTCATCACATGAGCATTGGAGCAAGTACCAATAACGATATATATAATGCACCTGTAATATTACATACTGTGTATGGTGTGTTAGAATATGCCTTATACAATAAGCAATAATTTATAATATGCATTGTATATGCAAATTTATATTATTCTCTATTATGCAGATGTATTATGTATAATTCATTACATACTTAACTACATATTACTAAATACAGAGATAATCGGTCTAGAATAGATGGAGATACAAGGATCACAATTTCTCTGTTTATTTAGGATTACCATTTATTACCCACAGCCAAGTCTGTATTTCCTGTGCGTACCCGCAGTGAGCGGACCCAGCGCCGTGTCCCACGCGGTGCCTGCCTGGGACTTGCCTGGGTGTTCTTGAGCTGTTCCAGGCGGGTCCCCTGTGGGAAGCTGTCTCCTCACCGGTACCGCAGTCACTGGGCGCTCACCCTGCGGCGGGTGCAGCTCTGGTGAACCCATCAGCTGGTTCCACGGGGCAGAGCTCTGCTATGGGCTCTGAACTACATTGAATTAAAACCGTTTAAAGCCATAATGAGGCTTTTTATCTGCATGGGAGGATTCCAGATCTTGGAATGAGATGTGCAGAACACAGGCTCCAACCACCCTTCTCCACCACCCACGGGAGATGCTGGGGGCTCGGGGGACTCGCTGCAGCAGCAACGTGGGCCCAAAACACCCTCCGGGACCCAGCACCCTCACAGGAGGGTGATGTGACAGGCGGAGTGTTGGGACTCGCACCCCACGGCGCCCCACACCATCCCATGGCACTGTGTGCCCTTCTGGGGACGGCCAGCCCGCGGCTCCATGAGCTGTTTTCCCTCCTGCCAGCTCATTACGCGGGTCTGCGTGGGGAAGAGCTCTGAAAGGCAAAGCCAAAGCCCCGTCCCTGCCCATTCCTAGGCCATCAGAAGGTGCCCGGCGAGGCCAGGCTGCCCCTTGTCAGGGCCCTGCAGCTCCTGGAACGCACCTCCTGGTCCCTTTCAGGTTGCAAAGAGCCGTCCGGGCCCCTGTGTGTGAACACCCCTGTGTGCCCGGAGAGGAAGGGGGCTCCTGCTGACTGCACACAGCTGGGCACTGCCCATGTGCCCTCCGGCCCCGTGGGCCAGCAGCCCCCGTAGGCTGCCCTTCGCCCAAGGGACACGCAGTGGTGCTGCCGGTGGCCCCCATGACATCCCTCAGGCACCCGCCGGCACTCGGACCTCCCGGCCCCGCGGGTGCAGCCCCAGGACACCAAAGCGGTTCCCCCGTTTTGGAGGAGCCCCGTTTCCAACGTGCTCCAGTGTCACCGCTCCTCGCTCCGCCCCACACGAGCAGCATCCACAGCTCACGCTCCCACGGGAGGACGCGGGAGCGCGGGGGATAGCGGCCATCCCCGATGGTCCCTACGGACCTGGGAATGACGCTGATCCTGACCGGCTTTACCTGGCCCTGCCGTGACAGGCAGGGATTTACCTGAGCGTGGAGAAACCTGTCAGTGTGAAGCTGTTGGTTGGGCTTTGCCAGGGTACAGGCTGGGAGCACCCAATGGGGTGGAGCCTCCAGGCCACCCCGATAGATGCGCCGGGCATCCCTCCGGGAACGGTGACTGCTGTCTGCTGGAGAGCACAACAACCACGAGCACTGGGAACCCCTCAGGTGCTCCAGGGGTGAGAGCAGCCTGCAGCGAGCCGTGGCACACGGGCCGTGATAACCCAGCGCCAGGGAAGCAGAAGAGCAGCCGTGCGCTTGCAGCCCGCTGAGGAGTTGCTGCCCGCACCTCTCAGGCTACGTTCTCTGTCTCACTGTTACCGATTTACAGCTCAAACCTCGGCTCCACCTCAGCCTGAAGCCGGTTTCGGGACAGTGGAGCTGTGTCCCGGGAATCCAGCAGCAGGAGCACGCTGCTCTGGTGGGTTTTAGCCCTAGCGAACAAGAAGGTAAAAAACATCTTTAGGAAGATTTTCTTTCTCTAGAAGCGCTGCTTTATCAAAACCACCCCGAGGCTTCCCGGGCAGTTTCCAGCAAGAGCTCCCGGCGGTCCCCTGCCATTGCCGAGGGAAGAGACGAGAGCGAACGTGGCAGCAACAGGTTCTAAACCTCCCCCAGTGCGCAAAAGCCTCAGAGGCGTTTCCATCCCTCAGCGTGTGCCAGAGCCGCCAGCTCGGTGCCCCTCGGCCCTCCCCGCACCGGGATGGGGCAGGGTCTCGCCCTGGGCCCCCGGGCAGAGCGGTGATGGGAGGCTGGCTCCTGCTGCGAGGGGAGCGCCCAGCTCTCCGCAGGCCCCGGCACTCAGCGCTGCAGGGCTCGCACGGGCCCCGCACACACCTGACATGAGAACATGCTGCTAAAATAACGAAGAAACTCCTTTTTTTTGGCCAAACCTGGGGAGTCCCTGCACAGAGCGAGCCCTCGGGGTCTGTTTGCAGCGTGGTTTGCACAGCTCTGTACAAACTGCGGCTCCTCAAAACACCCCCAGGGCCCGTCCTGTCCCCGCTGCGTGACATGGTCACCTCTCCCTCGCAGGGTGACCCGGGCGCTGTGCACCTTGCCCTGCCCCTGCCCTCGGAGGTTTTTCACCCGTCGGTGTGATCCCGGTCCCGGGGCAGCCCTGGCGCACCAGGCTGGCAAATGGAAAGCTGGCAACACTGAGGATACTAAACCAACCCCCCCGCACCCGGGCAGCCTTCCCAGCACCAGGCACCCTCTAACTCCCCCAGGTCCTGCTGGACGATCCTACCCGAGGCGCAGCACAGCCCCCAGCCCAAGCCACAGCAGCACGCCTGCATTGGAAAATATTTTATTTGAATAGTAAATAATTATACAGTTGAAACAGTTCTATTGAAGCACTCTATAAATAGCTAACAGTTAAGAAAATAATGTGTGTAGAAAAAGAGATTGCATCTAAAAGTAAGAGCTGTCGGCTGCACAGGATCGAATGGCCAAGGTCGTGTGTGTTCTAGGTATAAAAGTTAAAACCTTTATAGCAGATCCCTTGAGGAAAAAAAAAAAAACAAACAACAAAAAACCTCTTCTAAAACGCACAGTGAAATGGCAGGCGGGGACAAAACCAGCGTCAGAGCATCTGCGGTCAAATAATATCAATCTTCATAATTAATATAAATAAATAACGAATAAATAACATAATTACTCAAACCAACATATACAGATAGTCAACTCGTGAGCTACCTCGGGAAGGGCAAACCGAACGGAAACAGAAGGTTGGCATGTCACAGTTAAGGCAGTTTCTACAGCATCTTCTGGAGACCATCAACAGCGGCGTCAAGGCATCGGCGGCTGCGGGAACGGGAACCCTCGGGCGGCTCCTCCGGCGGGTCCGGGGTCCCCCGACGGGCGCCGAGGCGAACCAGCGGCCCAAACGGAGGGACGGACCCGGCGGCGGGCGCGAAGCCGGGCTCCAGCGGTTCACCAGCCGGGTTAAAGCTAATCGTGTGGCGGCCCCGGGCCGTGCGGGGCGGTGCGGGAAGGCACGGGCGGCTCTAGCAGGCGGGCCGCAGCGGCACCTGGAGCAGGATGACCTGCCTGTTCTCCGAGGGGTGGCACTTGTTGATGTGCCGGGTGAGGCCGGGCGAGCTGTAGAAGGTGGCCGGGCAGTACTTGCAGGGGAAGACCTGCGCGGCGTGCAGCAGGCGGAGGTGCCGCTCCTGGCTGCTCTTGCTGGGGAAGGTCTCCCCGCACACCGGGCACAGGCGGCACTCGGCGGGCGGCGGCGCGGGCGGCTCCTCGGCTGCGGGCTCGGAGGCCGGCGCGGCTCCCGGCGCGGGTGCCGGCGGCTGGTGGCCCAGCAGGTGCTTGCGCAGGTAGGCCTGCCGGCGGAACCGCTTGGCGCAGCGGGGGCACTCGAAGAGCCCCTCCTCGGAGCCCGCTTCCGAGCCGCCGCCGGGGCTCGGCGTGTCCCGCTCGCTGCCGCTGCCCGCTCCCGCCTCCTTCGGCGGCTCCTCCGGCGGCGCTCGGCCCGGCTCGGGGCCGCTCTTGGCGGCGGGCGGGCGCGGCTTGTGCCAGCGGCGGTGCGAGGCAAGGTTGGCGGGGCAGGAGAAGACCTTGTCGCACTCGGGGCAGCGGTACTCCACCCGCACGATGCGGGAGCAGCGGTGCTGCGCCAGCGCGAAGGGGTCCCCGTACTCCTCCTTGCAGAGCTGGCAGATGAACTCGCCCAGCGGGCGGGCGCAGCCGCCCCGCGCCCTGGCCGGCGCCTCCACCGGGCCCTCCTTGATGCGCAGCCCCAGCACGGGCGACGTGGTCACCTCGTCCTCGAAGGTCAGCTTGCGGATCGCCTTCGCCTTCTTGCCCGACGGGGCCTTCTGCCGCCCGGGCTCCGCGGCGCTCGGCGGCCGCTTGGCGGGCTGCGGGCGGGCGGCGGCGGGCGGCGCGGCCGGGGCGGGCGGCGCGGGGGCTCCACCGGGGCCGGGACCCGCGGCGGGCGGCTCTGCGGGGCCGGCGGCGGCCCAGAGCTTGAGCTCGGCCGGCGCGAAGAGCAGCGGGTCCATGGTGGCGGGCACGGCCGGCGCCGGGAAGGACTCGGCCGAGACGGGCGAGCCCAGGCTGAAGCCGCGCTCCAGGTACTTGTCCCTGCTGACGGGCCGCGTGGGGCTGTACAGCGCCTGCACGGCGGCATCGGGCGTCCCGCACGGCACCGTGTGCCCCGGCGGCGCGGCGGGGCGGGCGGGCGGCGGCGCCCCGGCGGGGTCGCGGCAGCAGCGCGCGCGGTACGAGGCGGGGGCGGGCCGGCGGCTGCGCTTCACCAGGAAGCCCCGCGGCATCTTGGCGCCGCCCGCGCGGCGGCCCCGGCACCCACCCGGCACCGGCCCCGCCGCTCGCGGAGCCCGGCCGCGGCCGCGCCGCCTTTAAGCGGGGCCGGGGCCATTGTTCGGGCCGGCGGCCGCGGCGGGGGCCAATCAGCGGCGCCGCGGCGGGCGGGGGGCGGGGCCGCCTGCACCTGAGCCCCCGCCGGCGGCACGCGCCCGGCCCCGCCCCCCGCACGCTCCGGCACGCGCGGGCCTTTGTGTGCGGCCCCGGGGCGCGCGCGGCGCCCCCCCCTCCCCCCGCGGTGAGCCCGGTGCGGGGGGTGGGGGGAGGGCGGGGAGCCCGGTGCCGGCATCAGGTGGCGCCCGCGGGAGCGCCGAGACCGGGCCCTGCCCCGCCGCTGACAGCGGAACGGAGCCGCGGAGCCGCAGGCCCCGGGCACCTGTAACGGGAGCGGCCGGGGCCGCACAGCGGACACGCACGGACACACGCGCACGCACAGGCACACGCGTACAAACACATTCGCACACGCACACACGCACACACATTCACACGCACACACGCGCACACACACACGCACACACACACATACACTCACACACACGCACACACTAGCACACACTCACACGCGCGCACACACACGCACACACACGCACACCCGCACGCACACACGCGCACACGCGCACACTCACACTCACCCGCACACACACACACATGCACACATAGCTCACACACACACACACGCACACACTCACACACGTGCACACACACGCACACACACGCGCACACACTCACACACACACACTCTCACACCCGTGCGCACACACGCACACGCACTCACACACACACATGCACTCACACACACACGCACACACAGCTCACACACACGCGCGCACACACACACAGAGTCACACACACACGCACACACACTCACACCCGCACACACACACACGCACACTCACGCACACTCACACAGTCACACCCGCACACGCACTCACACACAGAGTCACCCCCGCACACACACACAGCTCACACACACACACTCATACACACACTCACACACACTCACACCCGCGCACAAACTCACACACACACACACACTCACACTCACACACACTCACACACACGCACACACAGCTCACACACACACTCACACACACTCACACACACACACACTCACACACACACACACACGCACACACAGCTCACACACACACTCACACACACTCACACACACACACACACTCACACACACACTCACACACACGCACACACAGCTCACACACACACTCACACACACACACACTCACACTCACACACACAAACGCACACCCGCGCACACACTCACACACACGCACACACGCACACTCACACCCGCACACCCGCACACACGCACACTCACACCCGCACACACCCGCACACACACACACTCACACCCGCACACACACACGCACACCCGCACACACGCACACTCACACCCGCACACCCGCACACACACACCCGCACACACGCGCACACACGCGCACACACACGCGCACACACACACCGCCCGCGCAGGACAGCCGCTGTCCTGAGGCAGGCAGCGCTGGGTGCCGGGTCCCCGCTGCCGGAGGTGCGGGCGCGGTCCCCGGGGCAGGTGCAGCCCCGCTTTAACCCCTTGTCCGCGGGGGGGGCTCTCGGCTCCGCGCTCGCAGGTGGCGCCGCTGCGGGGAGCCCGGGGGGGGGGGTGCGGGGTGAGCGCCCCCTGCCGCGCGCAGCCGGCCGGCCCCGGGGGCGCGTGCGGGCAACCCCCCCTTTGTGAGGGGCACGCGGGCGGCACGCGAGTGGCGGCCCCCACCCCCCCCCCGCGCCGCCTTTGTGCGCCTCATTAGCATAAAGCTGCGCGAGCCGCGCGGCGGGAGCACAAAGGGGCGGGGGGAGGGGGGGGCGCCCGGGGCCGCGGGGGGGGGCGGGGGGTGCGGGGTGTGTGTGGCCTCCCCGCCCCCGCGGGGGACAGGCGCGCGGCGGGGCGGGGCGCGCGCCATTAGCATACAGCTGCGGGCCGGCGGGCACGCGCCGCCCCCCCACGGGGCTCGCACCGGCACCGGCGGACCCGGCAACCCCCGGCCACGGCTGCCCCGGTTCGGGACCCCAGAGCTGACAACGAGACATCCCCTGCCCAGAGCTCACAGGGAGACATCCCCTGCCCAGAGCTCGCACCGAGCCATCCCCTGCCCAGAGCTCACACCGAGACATCCCCTGCCCAGAGCTCACCCCGAGACATCCCCTGCCCAGAGACATCCCCTGCCCAGAGCTCGCACCCAGAGCTCGCACCGAGACATCCCCTGCCCAGAGCTCGCACCGAGACATCCCCTGCCCAGAGCTCGCACCGAGACATCCCCTGCCCAGAGCTCGCACCGAGACATCCCCTGCCCAGAGCTCGCACCGAGACATCCCCTGCCCAGAGCTCGCACCGAGACATCCCCTGCCCAGAGCTCACACCAAGGTACCCCCTGTCCGGGCTCACACCGAGGTACCCCCTGTCCGGGCTCACACCGAGGTACCCCCTGTCCGGGCTCACACCGGGGTGTCCCGTCCTCCCCGTCGGGGCCGCAGCCGTCACGGAGCCGGGGAGTCGGCGCCCGCCGGGCCTGTCGCTGCCGCCTCACCTGCGCCCGGCGGGGCCCTGGCCGGGTAGTACATGGGCAGGCTGTGGCGGTGACGGCGCAGGAAGCGCAGGACAGGGCCCAGCAGCGGCTCCGGGCAGGGGCTGCTCTCCGCGGCATCCTCCGGCAGCGGCAGGGGCACCTGCAGGGCACAGCGGTCGGTCAGCACCGGGGGCTCCGGGGCTACACAGGGGCCCTGTGTCCAACCTGGCCTTGAACACTGCCAGGGATGGGCACCCTGTGCCAGCGCCTCAGCACCCTCAAAACCACCATCAACGTTACCCCTAAATGTACAAGACATTCCCAGCTCCTGTGGGAGTCAGCAGTGCACTTGCACTCAAGCACCCCTGCAAGGGTGGTTATTTCCCCTCTTTTTGACGTTTCATCACTGGTTTATCTACAGGCTGAAGCGGGCTGGGATGGGAGTAACAGGAACCACGCTGGACAGGGCTTGGAGCAGCCTGCTCTAGTGGAAGGTGTCCCTGCACATGCAGGGGGTTGGAACTGGATGAGCTTTAAGCTCCCTTCCAACCCAAACCAGGCTGGGATTCTGTGATTCTGTGTGGAAACACAGCCAGCCCCGAGGCACTGAGGGTATATTCCATTAAGTGCATGGATACTGACTGTATTTGGCAACATGCCTACAAGGAACACCCAAGGAAAACATAAATTTGACATTTAGCAAATATGGTTGAAATCACGGTGAAGAAAAGAAAAATAGAAAAAGCAGAGAGGTGTCTGCATTCAGACGCAGACACCATCACCTGTGTTCATACAAAGGAGGCAGGGGATGAGCATCTGCATGGCCATGGCTGTGACACATGCCAGTTTGTGTGATGGAAATGGGTGGGCACAGCCTATGCCCCATCCCTTTGTCACCTGCCTGTGTTTACAGTTGATTCCCTTTGGTTTCTGCACTAAAACCTCTAGGAGCTGTGGCTGCAGGAACTGCACCACGTTAACTGTGAGCAACAGCAGCAGGAGGAGAGGGGAACTGCTCCCTAGCTGAGGGCTCAAGCACCAAATCATGTTTGAGGTCCGGCAGGAATTCGTCAGGGCTGGGATTGCTCTTTGTGAGTGCAGCTGGTTTGGGGTTTGGAGCAGGCAATGCTGTGGGGCTCAGACGCTGTGCCCCTGCCTGCGGTACTACAGGAAGAGCTTTAGCAAACATTTTCATGTCATCCTCACTCAGTAAATCCCCTTATCAGTGAAGAAGGCCAGTTGCTTTCATTCTTGGCTACAGAAGGCTGTTCCCTGTTGAAAAATCTGCTTCTCCCGGGCTCAGCTGGGACAGGTTTGGGGTGGCCTGTCATGCATTTGTACCAGGAAACATTAGTAATGGGGGGAAACAGGACAAGTGACCCCTGGTTCTGCTGGCTGGTTGTACTGAACTGCATGTGGGATACAGAAATGCCATGAAGGAAAACAAAACGCCTTGAAGTTCTGTTGGCAAACTGCAAATGCACCCAGGTAACAGCAGGAGCACGATGGGCTGCGCGTGGCGAGCACTGCGGGCGCGGGACCTGCTTGGGCTGCCCAGGGAAATAGCTCAACAGAAACGTGGGGCTTGAGGGGAAAGACAGAGCAGAAACCGAAGTGAACAGCACTGACAAATCAGCCTGCTGATGAACGTGCCCGCCTGCCGCTTGCCTTACCTGCTCCGATACGAGGGCTTGGCGCAGTTCCTCCTTGAGGTCGATAAACTGATCGTGATAGATGGCCATGGACCAAGGCTCCCTGAAGAACCTGGTTAAAAAAGAAGAAATTCAGTTATCTTGTGAACCTCTCATTAACCACTAATAAAGTATTTACCTGTTTTTTTGCCTTTATAAATGACAGTTCTGGACCCATCACGATCGTTTGTTCATAAAATGCCTCCTGTAACAGCATGGTCAATCAATTCTTTTAATGGATGTTCCTGATGTACAGCCAGCTTCAGTAATTACATTTAAAGTGGCTTAATTCAGAGCTGTGGCAAGACCCAGTGAAGAATCCTGATTTTATCAGAATTTAAAAGCCTGAAGACCTGTAAAGAACGGTGTCTCCATTATCTGTCCTCATTTGAGAAAAGCAGATTGCAGGATTAACTGAACTGCTGCATAAACAAATTAAATTTGTGTAGACAATGACACAAATGTTGCTCATCATTAAGGTTTCTGGATTAATAAAGGCCAGAAAAACAGGCCACCGTGGTGCTGCAATATGTTCTTTGCACTGGTACTGAGCTAAATTGAACCTATTCTAGGAGGAAGCTCTTGTAACTTTTTCATTCATGGCAGCATCCTTCCGTGAGAAGGCAGGGAAGGGGTGGAAAGGACCCGGCTCGATGTGGAGCCCCAGGCTGCAGATGTGACCGGAGGCAGCAAGCTATGGACTGGGGTTACTGCTCTCTCTAGGATGAAGAACTTT